GATAAATGGAAATAAGAAAATAATATTCAATCTACTTGATCAATTGATCTCATTGTTAGCTGTTCCACATGCTAGGGTGGAGCAAAGTTTTAATTCTAAGGCAGGAGAGACAGCTTCATGCTTGTAGGATCTATTGCAGGAGTGGCGGAGAATTGTTATTAGAACTTTGAGATTCTCCAACTGAAACCCGATGCAAAAGAACTAAAGAATGTGTATTTGGTTTTAGAAATGAACAGTGTCGGTGGAACTTCCACACAAAAATCCATTCCTGGTTACCACAGTATTTCTTCATTTCAGCAGTATAATTTAGGATGGTGAATGAGGCTGGGGTGGTGTGGGAAGATCATGTTGCTGCTGCTGCTAAACAATTTAGAGTCAGGATTCCTTGCCAATGTATTGCAGATCACCCAGAGATTTGCCGGTATATCCAGATCAATGTAAATTCTTCTGTCTCACCCATAACCTCCAACCATCCTTTGCTTACCCAATCATACCTCCTTCTTGATAGCACACCATTCATTCCACAACCCTCCCCAATGTATTCACACCTCCTTGAATGTTTCCTTCAGGACAAAGCATGCAAACTAAAGGAGACTTCATTCCCAATGAGAATGATCAGCATGCATTTTGCTGAATTGCACTCTTATATCTGTTGAGAATTTGAACCATCCTGGATGCAGCAGGGGAAGTGGTGTCCCTAGATGAACCTGAGCTTAGCAAATAAGCTCTTGATGCATCTACTACATACAGAGTAAGTTTCTGAACCTGAGGGACATGGGACCTTTGCCTATTGTGGAAACTGGGTGCTCTTAAAATGGTTTGGGTTAGTCCGCCATCGCAGTCAGTCAGAAAGGGAAGATCCGTGCGCTGAGAGAACTGGGCTTAAAACAGATTGAGCTGTGTAATGAGCATTTATCAGTTCTGACCCCTAAGAAAGCCTATCACAGAACTGCCCATTCAGATGCTAGCTTCCCACAAGGGGTTGCTCTTTTCTCCTTTCTAATCCCCCCACCCCACAAGCCAGAGCACTAGCTCCTATATAGGAGTCAACCAGAATGACTCTTGGCATAGCCTTGCACCCCCACCCCACCCCCCACTGCTGGGATGTCCAGTCCCCAGGCTAAATATACTCTAGCAGTTTGCAAATGTAGCAGTATGTTTGTAACCCGAGCCACCAGCCATCAGGCACAGCCACCTCTGTCCACATAATACCAGGCCCAGGCAGCATGGAGACGCCCGGCGACAAAGACTCCAGGCCCATCTTGGTGAGCACTTGCACCCCTCAGCTTCCCAGGCTTGGGAACATCTGCATTGGGAGAAACCCCTTGTCTGTGCCCTGCTGTTCCCTGCCCCATGCTGTGAGCGCCTCAGCCTTGATGTGCGCCGGGGCTTTTAAGCTCAGAATAGACTATTCTCTGTGTTTTCTATGCCACTGTGCTAGAAAGCCCGTTAACCTGGCATTCTCATCCTGAAACATTCCCTCTCCCTGTCCTTCCTCTTCACACTTTTGCGCAGTAGATCCACCTGTAACCCGCAGACACAACCCCCTTCTGAAAATCTTCCCTTGCAATTGGAATGTATCATTGTGATCTGTTTCTGTATGTGTGCTAGTTGCTGGTCTGTCCCAAGTTTTTGTAATATCTTCCATCTGTACCTATTTGATTGGCAGGATGCTAACCCTTGCTTGTTTGGGAATCAGATTTTCTAACAGCTGTGATTTCTTTTAAACATTTAAATCTTGAAAACAGTACCAATTGATAGCTAGATGTACAGAAAATGTTTTAAAATACTGAGATTGGTGATGTATATGTGTAAATCTTGGAGATTCAAGGATGAAAGGAAAACAAGTTTTTAAATTAAAGTGTCTAGATTTCTTATGAGACATCACACAGCTTTGTTCATGAAAATTGTTTGTCGCTCTGTGCTGTAATGTGGGCACCGATATACCCATGGATAGCATCTCCAGGGCCCATGAAATGCTTAACTGGCAGGGTTTGAGTATTATTTTTATTTTGAAGATTGGATGGTCAGGAATGCTTTAAAGTGAAGCGCTGGCTTCCCACCACCTGCTGTCTCTGTTTTCCTGAATTCCTCTGGGTCCCATGTATTCCCAGAGACATTCCTTGAATGTAAAGATGGTGGATGGCTGGGGACTAGGCAGAAAGGCAGGAGGGGATGGGCTGCATTGCTCTGCCTGGGGAGGGCTTGAAAGCAGCAGTGGAGAAATGGGGAGAGGGCTGGGGGAGACCTGATGGAGGAGAACGGGACTCTGATGCTGTCATGGGAAATGCAGAGGACAGTGGAAAGCACTGTGGGGGGGGGGGCAGAATGATAAGAGCAAACAGGAAAGGGTTGTATATATGGGTGGGTGAAAGAAGAAGAGTTTGGAGGATGCTCATGAAGAAGATCAAGGAGGGGACTTATATTTTGAGGCTCAGAATCCACTTCTGCTATGTATGTAGGTTCTTGGGCAAGTTATTTGATTTGCCTTCCTGTGAAACGGGTGTTTTGTGATTGGCCAGGTCCATCATAGCAGCTATTTTCTGAATGGACACTCCTCCATGGTAGCCATTTTGTAATGATATCCATGACACTTCCTCAAATCCTACATATGCCCAGTGACCCAAAAAGTTTGGAGATCTGTATTGGGTGCTTCTTTGCAGGAAATCTAGTGTTTTATAGTCTTCATCCTCTCTTCATCCTGCTCCTTTACCAAATCCTGTTCCTGATAACTCAGGAATGATGTGGACCAGTTTCTTCACAATGTGCTTCCAACACCCTTACTGTGTGCATAGTTCAAATTGCTGAAAGGGCATATTAGAATGTATTTTTATGGTGTGAACTTGCATTGTGAATCCAAGTTAGCAGTTGAGAGCAGAACATCAGAAAAGATGGTAGTGCCAGATGTATTGAACCCGGAATAAAATGATGTGGTCTTGTTCATGTGCCATCTACCCTAAAACTTATCCATCCATTCTGACATTTGATCTGGAATTGAAATTGTTGTATTGCCCCAATAGCCCAGATTCCCGCAAGAGATGCAACACCCACTGCCAAGCTCGCTTTAATCTACAGTAAGCTTCATCCAGTCCTTGATGCTCATGCCTAGAGCTTAGGGCTTAAGGGGTTGGGGCTGCATCTTTCCCTCTGCTATTCCAAGAAGATCAGGACTAATATTTTGGAATTGTGGATGATGCTAGAAGGGGGTGGATGATGCTGGAGAGGGCTGTGAAGGCACAGGAGAATTGTGTGATTCCTGGATGCTGCAGAACAATAAGGTGAGCTCTGTTCTAGAAAAAAATATAACCTGCATGGGGTTAGAAGATGGGACAGCACCCTGCTAAGTAGTAGAGCCCATGCTTTGCAGGCAAAATGTCTTAGGTTCTATCCCTGGCTCCTCTGGAGAGTTACTGCCAATTAATGTAATGCATCCGGTTTGGGGATGGGTGCCTTGGTCTTGAATGGGCATTAAAGATCTAAGAACTTTATAAAAGACCTGCTCCTGATGGAGATGTAAACTACCAGAACTGGTTTGTTTAGATGGATCAATGCAGCTGTCTACATTTTTGGACTTTCCTTCAGAGAGTGTCTATAGGAACTTTCAGAATGTATGCACTTCAGAATCTATACTTATGCCACTAGAGAAAGCCCAATGCCATCTAATGTCCCATGTGGAATTTATCCAAGATGTTCAGACTTTAAAATATAATAATTCAAGCACTGTGTCCTTGGAATAAATTAGCAAATTTATCAGAAAACTTCTTCAAATTGAGCAAATTTCATTTGGTTCACAATTGATTATGTATTTTTATTTAATGTCAGAATTTTGGAAATAAATATGCCAAATGTTATGCTGAATAATAACAATTGGAATTACTACTATGATTTTGCTTTAAATTAATTTGTGTGCGTGTGGCTGTCTTTTAAACTTTTGTTTATTTTTAACTAAATATTGGAGGAGTGGAGTGAATGTGCAGAGGGTAGAATTTATCACTACAGTGAAAGGCATCTGTCCTGCCTTCCTAGCCTGGTGCCCTCTGAATATGTTGGTCTTCAACTCCCATCATTCCCAGCCAGCATGGATATCAGTGATGGGAGCTGTGGCACAAAACATCTGAAGAACACTAGGCTGGGGAAGGCTGCTTTAGGCAATGAGTTTCTGGAGGGCATTTCCCTACCAACATGAATAAGAAGACGGTATAGAGCAGAAGATGCATCTTGCTTCCTGGCTGCTGGTAGTGCTGTTTCAGATCCTAGCTGTCTTTATATGCTATGAATCCAGGTTACATTTGTAAGCCTTTCCCCTCCTTTGTGCAGTGATGGAATCTAGAATCTTCTTGTTTTGAAAAAGAGAGCTGTGATTCTCAGGTCTCTGGAGAGTGTGTTGGTTTCTCTGGTGAATATACAAATCCTCAATTTGTGCTACAGTTGTGACCACATATGTTTAAGTGCGTTGTCTATGATCCAGAAAACCACAGACAAGTATGCAGAGTTGCTGCTGTTTGCTTTGGAAAGGCAAAAGGCAGGGTTATTAATACCAAACAAGGGTTTATGTGAACAGACCGTTTTGCTGTTGAAACAAGTCCAGGGTGCTCTAAAGCCCTGACACATACAGCCCCCATTTCTAAGCTGGCTTCTTCAGTAGTGAAGCCTTACACAACTGGGCCACACACCAGCTTTGCTAATAAATGACACATATATGCATAAGCCAATTGCATCTCAGAGGCACGTCATCAGCCCCTGACTCTTTCCAACTCTGATCAGTAGATCTAAGGCAGTGGAGGCAAGGAAGGTGTCAAACCAGCAAGCCCCTCCCCGAGATTTCCCTTTCCCCCACTCCTTTCAAAAGTGAAGGAAGGGCAGCTGTTGTCTTCAGGTGGATTTGCCAGTTTTGCCTCTCAAATACCTGCAGCTTCTGGAGGCGTCGAGCTCTTCCTTCCCCTCTAAGCTCTTTCTTGCCCACTTGGAAGAGTACGCTGGTGGCGTGCCCACATCTCCCTGCCAGGATGTACCTGGATGAGCTGGATGATGATTCAGAGGCGGTGAGTAATGCCTTGTGGCTAATTTGGGTTATCCTCTTGCACCACCGGTGTGTGACTGTTAATAGCTCATCATGGAAGAGTCTCGTCTCCTCCTCACTCCCAGCTCTCCAGATGACTACTGTTCACAGTACTCCCATTCTTGGCATCCATCCATCCTCTGTACCCAGACCCCATTTTTCATTCCTGTTGCTCTCTCGCTAATCCCCCCTTTTAGTCTCTTTTACAAGAATATAATCAGCATCTAGGTAAATAGATGCTCCTGAAAAGAGGGACAACATGACAGCTCTTCCCCATGGCAACTTATGTTATGTGTGTGTGCGTGTGTGTGTGTGTGTGTGAGGGGGGAATGAATAGAAGCCCTTGCAGAGTTGGATAGGCCAGTGTACTCCTCACATATAGTTGGGGCAGCAAATCAGCCGTGCTTAATGTTCATCTCCTATTCTGGCAGTTTCATTCCACACCATGTATTGTTGGCTCCATCTTATCCTTTATCCCTGAAAAAGGTTTTGTAGCATACTTGGCTTTCCTCCTTTGCTTTCTTTGTTTCTTTCTGTATTAGTGGATTTGGTCCAGGCTTCTGTCTTGGTGCAATTGCTACAGGTGCTGCCACAGTTTCTGGAAATGACTTAATTTGCATACAGGAAAATTGATCTCTTCCTTAATTTCAGATGTTGATGAGCATCAGGCAGATGTTGCTAAATTAATAATCCCTGGACATGCAAACCCTTTGAGGGCTGGATCTTGAGCATTTGATGTATCTAAAGTTTCTCTCTCTCCCTCCCTCCCTCTGAGTTGTCTCATCCTTTTTGTTTAGAAGCTTTTTCACCATGTGGCCTTTTCATTTTGGAGTACAACTGGAGGGTAAAGTTCACATGAGGGCATTTGGAGCCCGAGCAAAGACAAGGAGCACGCTGCTATTTTTGCTCAGCATCACCAATAGCTAGTTTGTGCTTGCAAGGCACTTTTTGTGCTTCAGCCCCTCAGTCCATTGCTGTTTTAACTCTTAGCTAGTCTTGCTGTAGGTGTCTTCCTTGCAGGATACTTACCTTTTCCTCCTTGCCTCCTTGCTTCTTGTGGAAAATCCAGGTATCCAGTCTTCCCTACCTTTGGGAAGCTGGAACAGAAAGAAATTACTTTAAACTCAATTCCACCTTTTTGGTGGTACAGTTGCTCTTTAGGTTTAGAGAATGCCATGGTATACATGTTGGCATACATGTTACTCTTACCGTCTTGGTGCTGAATTTGGTGAGGGCCTGCATTGTGTTCATGTGTTTCACAGAAGGAGGTGTAGAAATCCATAGCAAATCACAGGCTTGAGGTGCTTTGAGACAGAGGATTCCTAGCACTACTGAAGGGAAAGCATTGTGGAACTATTCCACCTTTTCTTTCTTAACGGATCATCTGTACAATTCTACTGATGAAGCAAAGTAGCGGTGCCAAAAAGCTTTGTCTGGAGGCAAACTTAATTACATGGTCTGTATTCCCTGGAGTTGAAAACATTTTATTACTTTAAGCAGTCAGCTTCTGACAGGGAGAGGTTAGTGTATGATGTTTTTATTCCTCCGAAAATGTCTGTATAAAATTGGGTGAAAGTGGGCCTCCAACCTGCTACAGTGACGGGCAGCTGCCTGTGGAGTTGTGACTGCCTTGAGAAGGTTCGGCTCAGCCATTGCAATGAGCCTCGCTTCTCTGGTAGCATCATAGGGGAGCCACTAATTAATTGTGACATTTCAGCTCCGCATTCTCACCCCAGTCAAGCTACCTCTGTTCAAGAATGATGGGAGGCTTAATAATCTGTTCATTAAGAGAAGAAAATCCTTTTGAAAGAGAATTATTAAAAAGAACCACAGTAATGACAGTTTGCAGATTAACAGAAAAACCAGGGGGAATGGTACTTTATTAATGGATTTGTTAAGAAGGCAGATTATAACTTTGTGAAATGTTTACCAGTAGCAGTAAAAATTGAAATATTTGCATGTGCTCAGTGTGGTATCCTGGCTATGGCAAGATTCACCAACTACAGAGAAAATTACCAGTTTTGTTAATAAAGTTGCAATGTTGTGTGCACTTGCATAGAATCAGTTCAAATAAATTCCGCAGGTCTTGCTTCTAAGTAAACAAGCAAAGGACTGGGCCAATTGTACAGCTTTTACGATAAGATGGCATTGTTTTATCATGTTCTGGATAGCTCATGATAATTTACTAATACAGAACTAAATACATTAAGAGTTTTCCACTTCTATATTATACCTAAAAGTATATTTTTCTTGCTTTGGAAAAATGTTTGCAGTATAGTTCTCAACCCAAAAACAAGTATTATACAAATCAGGTCAATGTGTAAAATTTATCACCTTGGTAAACGCATGTGCCCGTACACACACACTTGCCTTTGAACGTAGTCACTCTCTTAGAGTCTCCTGCTCACAACAATGCATTGAAGACTTGGAAATGGATTATTGCAAGCAGACAGCTCCAAAAGAGCAACGGAGCACTCGAAGCATTCCTTTCAGACCATTTCTGTTCGATAGAACAAAAAGCTCCAATACCAGATATCTACGTACATGAAGCAAACAATGTCTGTGAACACTTCAGAATTAGCTTCCTGTCTTAATTCAGTGTTAAGAGCTCTTACAACAGAGTAACTTTTGTTCTGTTTTTTCATGTTTTACGATAAACAGGGCAAACCAAAGACATGAAGGGGAGCAGTGCATGGCAGCCAGAGCCAATCAAGTTATTTTTGCCACTCTTAGCAAATAACTAACCATTTGCTGCCCTTTTGTGACCCACAAGATCAGCTTCATGATGTAGCTGCCTCACTTTGCCTGTTGTCTTGAGTGAGCATGAATGTTGTCTCCAGCTATGACTTGCTTGTTCAGCACAGTACAAAGAATCAGTTCAAGAATGGTTCTCCTAGAGCAGTTCATGCGGACTAGGAGTCAGAATCCATGGATTCTCCTCATTGCCCCTGAATGGGCAATGAGGAGCTTGCCTAGCTTCTCAACATCCACTTTTGCTTGCTTAAAGCAACAGATGGGATTCCTTTGCAAACATGGTAGGGGAAAGAGGGAGTGCATCAGCATAAGCAAAGCCAGGATGGATGAATGAACAAAATCCCCCAAAGAGTGCTGAATCCAATGTGAGACTCGAGGAGGGACTGCAGTGCCCCTACAGTGTCCCTGCACTTTATATCTGCCACATAGTTTTATTCCTATTGCATTACATTTATATCCAACCTTCCTTCTTCTTGCAAAGAACTCAAAGTTCTCTTCCTCTCCACTTTATCCTCACAACAACAACCCTGAGAGGCAAGTCAGGGCAAGAGTCTGTGACTGGCCCTAAATCACCCAGTTCTCCATAGTCTCAGTACAGCACTCTTCACCATTGTACGTACCACAGCAGCTGTCCACATAAGGCCTTTAAAAGTTTAATCTCCACCACTCTTTTATTTTCTCTCTCCCACTCTGCTCCTCAGGGTTCTGCTGAGTCCTACACCAGTCGTCCATCTGACTCTGATGTGTCACTAGAGGAAGATCGTGAGGCCCTGCGCAAGGAAGCCGAACGCCAGGCCCTGGCACAGCTGGAGAAAGCCAAGGTAACTGCAGGCAGTCTGCAATGCTGGGGGCCTCCGAATATGCCATACATATCTGTCTGGCTTGTCTGGCTTCAGGAAGAGGGTCCTTCTAAAAGGCTGCAGTTTGTGTCAATTGGTGGAATGCAGGTGTCTCCTTTATTCAGTCTGTGGCAGGGTTCACACAGCAGGACAGGTTACGACAGTTTGCAATTTTTTACCCTGATCTACTGGACAGACAATCCAGTGGTTTCTCTGTTATTGTGGTTTCCAACCTCTTTGTTCTGCCTTCCCACTGTTGACATGTATCCCATCAGCCACTGCACCTGAAATTCAATCCTAAGGTGCACCACTTCCTGGGTTGCCTGTTTCTTCCTCATTGATCTGCACATACAGAAGCTCCAGGGTATTCTGTGGTAATTCCATACCAGGACTGTGGATCAGAAATCATGATTCTGGATTCAGACAACATGACAAGCCATGGTGGTACAAGAAAACCATAGAACAAACCATTGTTTCTTACTGTTGTTTCTAAAGACCAAACTTTTCATGGTGATATACCACAACTGGTATTGACAACAAGACAGAAAAACAATGGTAAAAATCCACTATGGTTTATCATGTTGCCAAAACCTAGCCTGTATCTTTTATTCACTGCCACACTGGAGAACAGAAGCCTTGTCTTACTCTAGGCAAACAAGGAATTCCTTGCTGCTTCTATAGCAGCTACTGACCTGTCCTACAAAATCATGCTCTTCAGAATGCTCTTCATTTCACTCTTCTCCCCATGTGTGTTTCCACACAAGAGGTCCCATTTATCCAAGTTGTATGCTCACTTGAGAGAGAGGTTTAACATGAAGAGGAGCTAGAATATGAGCCTCTCTTTAAAAAGAAGTGTGTACCCCTGCTCTTAGAATGCCTGATCACATGAAGAGTTCCTGACTTTGTACTTTCTGAGGTTTCTACCATGCATCTGAGAGAGAATGTTTCCTCTCTCAGAAACAAGGTGGACATCTCCAGGATACATCTCCATGTGACTTCCAAGAGCAAGATTTGCCTGAATTTGTCCATAAGGAAGCATGGCCTTGCATATAAGGTATATACGAACACTACAAATTTAAGTGGGTGTGACACAGGGCCAGATGAGTTCCACTTTCTTACTAGTGTTGTGCAGCCAAGAAACTCAAAACAGCTACTTCAGTGGACAACTACCTCCTAAGTTGGTTGAAGCTGAATAACCCTGGCTAGAATTCCTCCCTGTCTCAAGACGGCTTTAACAGAGGAAGGTCTCTGTTTGCAGCAGTCATTTTGGTGCATTCCTATTCAAGTGTTCTGTGTTTGCGTGAGTGAAACAGCCTTATAACACAGTAGAGCTTTAACCTGGGCAAGTGGCATTTGGGGCTGTTTCCAGATGGACAGCTCACTGGTGTAGTTCTTTTGACGACTACGAAAGTAGCCGCTTTGAGGACATGTTCTAATAGCCTCCACTTCTTTGATTTTATGTTAAATGGGGACTTCTTCAGGGTTATAATTATCAACAGGCATCACCCTCAACTGTTTTCCTGTGAATAATTTCCTGTATTCACTTCCTGCACACCTATGGCAGTACAAGCTTTTTCATTTTTCCTTAAACCTGCATCTGCTAGAGAAAGGTCCCAATAACAGATAGTCACAAGCCAGTGTTGGATTTGTTTCGAATGAGTTCCATCAAATGAACTCTTGTGTACAGTGCCTTAAATTCTCTACACTATCTTACCACTATTGATTTTTGCAATATTCAGGCAAGATCACTAGCAGCAGCTCTGTTCCACCAGTTTATGGAACTCCAGCTAACCCAATCTTGTGTATGTGCATGCATTTGCGCGCGCGCGCGCACACACACACACACACATAATCATCCTATGTAGCCACCTGCCAAAACTCCAGTTTAACTTTATTTATGTATTAGTTGTATTTCTACACTGCCCTATAGCCCAGAGGCTCTCTGGGTGGCTTACAATAAAACATCTAAAAAAAATTAAAATGACAACTAAAATAATTCATTAAAGCCATATAAAACCAAGAAAACAAAGCAATACAATATATAATGCAGAAAATAAAATGCAAAAACTGGCAATGCAAAGAGAACTCTCAGTTAAGAAGACAAGCAGCAATAACATTACACTTGAGCAGGAGCTTCAATAAGGTGGCGTACGAGGCTCTTTCCTGCAGGATGATTTAAGATTGTCCTGCCAATGGAAATGCACATAGAACTTCTAGGCTGTGCCTCAACACCTTTGCTATCTACCTCTAAGCTTTTGAACACAGTAGCCCCTGCTTCTGGGGTCCCAGAGCCAGTGTGCTGTTAATGGTTATGGTGCCAGACTAGGACTCAGGAGATCTGAGTTCTAGTCCCCACTTAGTGCCTAACCTTCCTCACCTTCATGCTCACTAAGTGCCTAACCTACCTCACAGGACTGTTGTGAGGTTGAAATGGAGAGGAGGGGTGCCATGTGGGCATTACTATCATCTTGGGCCATTCTAATATGGCCATCTTTTTACAGGAAATTAAGAAAAAGGAAAGGGGCTGGATGGTGTTACTGAATGTGCTCCTGTTAGAGAAATGTAATATCTTGGCATGTTCTACAAGGAACATTGGTAATAGTGTGTCTTTGGCAAAGAAGAGAACTTAAAACAATGCTCACAACTTTGGGAATAGATATGTATCAAGCTCAGACAAGAGTTGAAAATGTAAAATTATTTCTTTGGGGAAGCAATTATGATAGAGCAATTGTAGTGTACATATATGGAGTAAAATAGCACAGAAACCTGTAACAAGAACATGAATTGTGGAGAAATTAGCTGAGTTGCTGCAGAGACTTGCTTCAGGGCTAGAATTAGAATGCAGACATGCACTGACTTTTCACCTTGCCATCAGAATGGTTTGTAGGGGTGAGAGGGTGGAAGGAGGGAATTAGGAATCAAGATCTTGGGAAGGAAAAAGAGTTGGAACTGAGCATAGAGAATGGTGTGGACAAGGGTGAGATTTATTCTAAGAGGAGAGCTTGCACTCAGGCTAGTCCAGAGACACAGGGTGGGCTCACATGTCACACTCTGGCTAACTCACCCTGGAAATAAGCCACAGGGAGTAGGTTGTTGCCTGAACAACTTACAGTACACCCAACAGACACTTGCCTTCAGCCCTCCTACAGCTATCCCAGGGGACTGAAAAGGTCCTCTTTCTTGTAGCTACTCCACCTCACTTCCTTTGGTGTGAACACTTGAAAGAATACCTTGGATAATCAATTTAGGGCAGGGGTCCCCAAATGTTTTGGGTCTGTGGGCACATTTTGAAACCTGTGATATTGTCACAAGTTCCACTGCAAAATGGCTGCTGCAGGGATTGGGAGTTACAAACAACAGGTAACTTCCCCAAGACACTGAATAAAAGGAAGAGGTTGGGTTTAATCTCCAGTTACCAATCTACCTGTTTGACTCCACTTAGCACAACAAATCGCCCATTTCAGACACGAAATGAGAAGGCAAATTGCTGAGGCTCAGAGGCAGGAAACTGAATCCAAGGTAGAGATTGGCTCTAAGGCAAAAGTGCCAAAGTATTTGCCCCACAAAACACAACAATTGGCAATGCTGAGAGAAACCCCTTCTCTAACAACAGACTTCCCACTGCCCATTGTACTCCCATTCCTTCCAGCCATGTAGTTGCAAACCTGCCTGGCTCAGACACCCATCCATGTAGCAATAAGCTGACAAAGCTACCCACAGTACCCCCACCACCCCCAAATGTACATACCCACACACTAGGAAAACTACCCACCCTCCTTTGAAACACCCCCTTCCAAACACATACACACAGAGCCCCTCCCCTCCAAAAAAAATCCATGCCAAAAAACCAAGGCAAAGGAAAGCTTAGTGGCAGCTTCCCCTGGGCCCCAGAACTTACTAGGAAGTAGCAATGGGCTTCTTTTTTCTTTCCCCTTTGTTGAACTTTTTTAGCCAACTGGTTGATCATGGTAGAAAGCTGAGCTCCAGTTGGCCCATCCTCTTCCTTGCCTTGCTGATGAGAGCCCCTGCCCCAGAGGTGTGATGGGGAGAGGAGGGGAGGGAGAGGGTGGGCAGCAGGAAGTGAGCATTGGCCTTTTTATGGATGCCCATGGCAAAGATGTCTTTGAAATTATTTAAGATGTTTTAAAATTGGGAAAGGGAATGCCTGGGGAGTGAGCACTGGTGTCTGTGGACACTGCAGTGCTTTAGGCTCAAGCTAGGTAGAGATGGGCTTTGCTTGCAGAAGGACCCTGGCATCTGCACTTAGAAGGATAGTTTAGCAGGTTATGTGGCCCCTGGAGAGCCTCCGCTGATCCAAGTAGAGGAGCTTTGACAGACACATGACTGACTGGGTATGAGGCATCTTCCAAAGTGGTTGGAGGAGTTAAGGAATTCCCTGTTTTATACCAAAAGATGGACAAAGGCACCTGTAAGCTCTATTCAGCAGCTTCTCTTTGAGCTATGGATGTCTCACTACTAATATTATCTTTGGGACAGTCCCCTCTCCCATAAACAGTCGCCAAGCTCATGTTTTTCCAAGCTGAAGTCTTCTGTTTATTGAAATAGCAGATATACATTACCTGTTATAATGTAGACTGCAGCTCTAAAGTTATGCTTTAAAACACCCTTGCTTGGGTTGACATGTTTGGCTTCACTTCACTGTCTTGATGCCAGACCATCAGTCCCAAAGATCTATCTTTTGGTGGTGAGGGCCTTTTTAGCAAAACAACAAGCAATCTTTGGAAAAGCTACGTAAAGCCAAGTTGGCAGCTCACTCCCTGTAGATAATATTGGCATCTACACAGCCACAGCAAGGACTCAGTATCAGCTGTGTGAGGTCCAAGTAACATTCATTCTTGTGCTTTCTAGCCAAGCAGCATCCAGCAAAAAAGAAAAGAAAATGGTCTGATAGTACACAGTGAGACCAAACGAAATCGAGCCTACAGCAGACCTAAAACTCCCACTGCTTCCAAATGGAGGGC